CAAAATTGAATGTGTTCTGAAAGTGGGACCAGCTGTATTAGCTTGAGATATTTCATAATGAGCCCGAACTAACCTGATACATGATAAGCTGGCAGGACTGAACCTGAAGTAGACGACATTCAAACACGAAAAAAGAGAGATGCTTAGACCGAATCAGAAAGAGTGAAACTGTTTTGTAGATAAAGAAAACAATGCTACAAAAACTATAGGTATGTTAGCAGTGTTTTTTACACTGTAGCCTTTGCAATGGCTCCCCGAAACAAAGGTAGGACTTATGAGATCTTACCCAGATTTCTGACACTTCTCTGGCAATCCATTAAAAGGAATGCAGGACTGACTCTCAATTCATGCAGACTGCTTTTGTAATATCCTACCGCAAGAATGCACAACTCTGATGACAAAAATGCTTATATTGAGGCCACATCTGTGGCCTCAGGCCTAGAGCCTAGAATAGGCCATATTGCTCAAACCAAAGCTAGAGCATATCTAAGCACCATGTTCCCAAATGTTCTCGTGTTAGAGGTATGGTGAACAACTAAGGCACTTTTTTTATTTCTTATTTCAGAGTGCCATTTTCCGAGCTACCTAGAACAGCGAACAAAAAGCTCAATCGCATGGTCGTCTGAAATAAAAGCTTTTATAAATTTGTTTTTAGAGCCTTTTCAAAAGTTTGTACCAACACCCGGCCACCATTGCTTGCTCACATACTCTGAGCATGTAATGGACACGGCAGTTGCGTCAGCGTTCGGCGTGAACTTAGGTCATATTGCAAATGAGCGCTCTGTCAGAGTTCGTCGAGGACTCGGATCCAATCACAGGCTTCGTGATTGGATTCGAGTCCTCGCCGTGTCGATTGTACCACGTAAGTGAAAATAGATTATGTATATAATATTTGAAAGTATGAAAGATTGAGCCCGACAAAGTCAGAAATCAAAGACCACCAACAAGGCATTATATACTACTGGCATTTCTTGGGGACCCCATGGTCAACACCTGTTCACTTCATGGCTGAGAGAACTACCCTGGGCGCAGGCTGGGGACATTTTTGTCTGGAAGCTTCGTTGGACAGCTAGTGCACTAGTACCCGAGTTACACGGGCGCTCTCAGCTGCCATTGAGTCCAACGACAGTCGAGTCCATCGCGATAAGCCAAAGTTACACGGCAGCGCCAACCGTCATTGAGCCGCTAATGACAGTTGAGTTCGACTGAGCTCCCCCACCTCAGTTCAACCGAACGGACTTCCCCAACGGAGGTAAATTGGCACCTGTTCGCGGGACCGCTGCCAGCAACCATTGTTTGTGAGGCACTTACTGTTTCGGAATTCAGGGGGAGGCGTCTAGAAAGAATCGTAGCAGCAAAATTCTCGGGAAGGAATAAATTTAGGCGTCCGAGCTGCCAGTGATAGCACCCGGCTAGCCGGCAAGATTCCAAACGAGCAAAAATGGCGGAGGAACCTGCTGCATAAATAGACAAATAGTAGTGGGGTACCCATCATAGCGGGCAGTAGCTTGTACCACCTAGCCTAAAATATGTGCAACCTAGCCCTGAATCTGTTTTGGTACTCGTGTAAATGCCGCTAAAAAGCAACAAGGTATCAAACATTTAGTATGATCTACTTAAAATAAATAAAACGTGTGTCTCCGAGTCAATTACTATAAAAATTTGACTGATCACACGGCTCAAGAACCAGTTTCGTGCTAGCTTTAACTGGGTTCTAGAGAGTTGAGTTGAGTTGAGTTGAGTTCAGTCAAAGGTAAGGCCGATAAATGTCTTAGACTCAACGATAGTTGAAAGTGTACGTGTAACTAGGGTAACTAGGGGACTGGCTTCCCTTAGAGAAAACTAATACGTTTGAAACACGTTCAAATGAATTTCGAATGCATTTAAGTGTATTTTTTATTTTCAAATACATTAAAATATACACTACAATATATTTTTAAAAATGTATTTATAAAAATACGTTAAAATATGCGTACTTAAATATACTCCAAGAACATTTAAATGCATTATTGAAGATGTTAGTATATTAGAAATGCATTTCAATATATTTTTTTCAACATGAATTAAAATCGCTCGGTATTAAAATATATTTCTGAAACTATATTTAAATATACTTATTAAAATGCATTTTTGTAAATGAGAACTAAATTTATGCAGATATGTTTTTATACCCCCCACCCCCCTTCCAAAAAAAAGTTTACTTACTTTTGCCATGTGCCCCAATCAAGTCGTGCTGTCTTAATTTAGCCTAAGGCAACAGCACGGACACCCTTCGGGTTTTAATGCGTGGCACCATAGCAATTGGTTAAATTTTTCTTCCGTCCTCTAATTGTATTTAAAATGCACATACTGTATAGTGGAACTATAAGTACCATTTATTTTGTGTCTAGCTCGAACATGAGTACAGGGATTATATATTGGAAAAACACTGACCATAAAATAGTGAATTTTGTGCTGCAAACATAGTACAAGACTTTTTTTTAAATCCTTAATTGGCTTGTGTTGTTTGAGCAATTACAATTATTTACAAGTAAAAATGCACACACCTTAATTTTTGGTTAAAGCGTAGTAGCATTTTTGAAAAAAAAAGAAGAAAAAATTAGTGTTCAAAAATAAATATCCAGGACAATTCTAAAGCTCTGATTTAGAATCAATAATCCCAACAACAAACAGTAATCATGAAATGTTTATTGAATCTTTGAAGGAAGACAATGATAGAGTAATGATATCAAATTTGAACACAAAAAACCACAATAGGCAGAAAATAACGCTTAGTGTACAAGACGGCATCTTTTTCCAATTATGTACAATGCAAAAGTTTCGTCACCAATAATCGAGCTGGCCAGTACACACAGGCACCACAGAACATAATAAACATATCAATTCACTCACAAGCAAAATTATTTGACACATGAAGGTACAAAGAGGAATCCACTTAGTCGATAACTGAAAACCTTATAAGTTGATAAGTATTATAAAATATTTACATACTTTTTAAAACTACAGTCATGATATACACACAAACAAGAAAGGCAACTACACAGTCACACTGTAAGTCTTCACGACCAGTTGTATAATTTCAACATGTAGAGCAAAAAGGAGGAAGGCAGACAAGCTCATTCCTTACAGACAGATGTTTGAGAAAACTGCGAGCGGGATATTGACACGAGCTCATGAGCTTTCTTACGACGCCTCTGATGAGAAAGCTGAAAAGATGCCTACACAGTAAAACCCCAAGTCCTAAATTCCTACGACTCTCGCACCAGTAGGAGGGTTTATATACTAGCCAAGGTGCTCGCAATATGACGGAAGCTTATAACAGCGAGGGTATTTGTGTGACCAGGATTTCGGTTGCACATCAAAATATTCTGTGGAGGGCTCCCATCAAACACAGCAAGTGCTTGAATAATTCCAACTGAGCCATCCTGCAGCTGAGCGGCACAGTTTACCCTTTTGGGCATCCTGTATGTTTCCGACAGAGAATTCCATTGTTCTGGAACCTGTTGTAAAAAGTAATATGTTGTGGTAGGAATCCCAGGTGGTCTTCTAATGTAACTTCCAGCCTGATATCGGTACCAAAGAAACTCTGTCGCCGGTATACGACTACCTCCCCAGAAAGCGCCACCCCAGTCCTATACCCACGGTCTGAAGGCGGACCATCCTCTGAAAAAAAGGCCCTTCCTTCTGGTGCCTGGATTCTGTCCGACCAGAGAGAAAGGGGCTACCACCAAGCAAAGGTACGAGCAATCTTCTCAGCGAAACACTGTGTGCCAGAGTAGTAGTTCAGTAGAACCGTGTTCCGCCCTTCAAAAGGAAAACAAGAGGTCGCCCACAGCGGGCCCCAGGCTTCCACCGAGTCAGTTAGGTGAAGCAGCTGGTGAACGTTGTACGACATGTTCGCCGTGCCATACAACGCACCCATCTGCAACACAAACTTCTCCAGCAGAGCCCATGCCTCGTGGAGGTTTCGGTCTGTGATTTCCTCTTGAAGTAGCATGACAAAACTGTAAAATGCTTAAAAAACTGGCGTGGTAAAATAGGCTTCAGTACAACATACACATAGAAGAGCAAGAGGGCTCGCAACTCTGATGCCTTCCAGTAGGCCCTGTCCTCGAACTCCCTCGGGGTGCGGGTGACTTCTGTCGGAGCAGAGACGGCTAGCAGCAAGCTCCTTAGTTGTGACACCTTTGTTCCAATGTACCAAGGACAGCCGTGATTCTCACTTTCAAGCCACAACCGAAGCAGCTGTCGCATGACGCCAAGGCAAGCGCAATGCTGGTAGTCCGGAATGAAGCCGTCAACTACATCAAACCGAGGAAGGGTCATTGCAACACAGGGGCCTTTCACTCCATTAACAGGCACTACAGAAGTGCCCTCTTTTGCCTCTCCTGAATGCTTCAGAGCAGTTCTCTGCTCTGGAACTGGATCTAAGTACCCATAAGTGGATCCTCCCGGGTGGTAGCACCAACCGCAGCCATGAAAACCGTTGAACTGTTTACAGTTTCGCACTGCACACCGAGCAACGGCGTCCACAGGGCATGCTGCTGCAAAGACTCTTACATTAACTGCCACTCCCTGCTTTATACAGCGAAATTCTGCAGAGAGCTCCTTCAGCTCCTCTGCAAAAGGTGTCTGAAAGGTGGTCATATTAGGTTTAGAAAAACCAAACCAGAGCGCAGGCATCAGCATGTTATGCTTACGCACTGCAGGGTCCAACTGCAGGATCTTGCATTGTACAGGCCAAATGTCGAAACTAGACTTTTCGAATACCCTGATCCCATCAGTGTTCCACAACAGAGAAATATCGTGACTGGAAAAATTAGATGAAATTCTTGCATGCTCAATGCCACCCGCCACGACTCTAATTGTGCCCCCTCTGGTGTTTTGTGGAAGCCACTTGAGGTTTTGCTGTGCAAGAATGCGCTCAATCTGCTCCTTTAAAGGCATCACGAGAAAAAAAGGGCAGGAAACCAAATCAACATCTCGCTCACAGTTTTCACAGCGAGCCTGACTCTCACAGTTTGCTTTTCCCAAGCACCCCAAACAAGTGAGGCAGTAGAAGTGCTTCTGTGCACCAGGCACGTCAGCCCCCAAAGCCTTTAAAAGTAGGTAGTTTGATCATACCTTTCCTGGGGTGATTACATTTTGCATATCCAGCAAATCTGCTATACCTTGATCGCTAACTTTGTGGCGCATCACGCAGGCCATCAGCAGGGCCGCAATCTCTGTCCTCTCATCAGCAAATGGCGAAGTTCATTGGAGCTCCATCAGGATGTGGGTCCTAAAAAAAGTATCAAAACAATCATCCACACACCTCCGCGACAAAAAAATTCTTGTTTGTATTGAATTTCAACAAAGTGCACCTATATGCCACCATGAAATAGCTTGATTAATTAAAACTGAATCACTGTGGCATTTATTTCCTAGTGATTTTCTATGTGTGAATAACCAAACATCTGCACTTTGGTTGCTACAGGCTACAGTCCAGGAAAAAGTCTAATATGCATGAATGCCCATTCAGATAGAATTAAGTGTATGGGTTATACTCACAGGGTAGGCTGATTGCATTGCCAATTAATCATGTCTGAGTAACAGGCTTAAGTTGAGCTAACAGAATACATGTCATTACAAAGAAGTCAGTTTGAACATGAGAAACAGAGAGAGGGAACATACGTATGTTAATTTCCTCTGTATGTGTTTGCCTCGTGTTCAAGCTGAAATTGTTGCAATGTCAGAGTAAATAATATTCTAGGTTTGCAGATCAGTGTAAATACTGTTTTGTCTTTGAAGGATATTCAGAAGTATTTCTTGCTGCTAAGGAAGCACAGATGTATCGGTGACTTGCAATTATATCTTAATGTAAACTTCCTCAAGACACATTTATTTAGGATTTAGTTTAAAGAGGGGGAGGAAGAGTTGGGAAGGGGGAGGGGCTCAATCCTTTTGCGTACTTTGGCCAGGCACTGTTCTGTTCCGGCATATTCGTTTGCCTCTGGGTTGTTACACTGCTTCTCAATCCGTCACGTTCCACCGACATACGCGTTTTGCTCAGCAGCGTGCTCTGCAGTGAGGGTGTTCACTAAAACGTGCCGACACGCGAAATGGTGACCATATCAAGAAATCGTTCCCATTTTTTTCTGTTATCTCTACTCAAAGCTTGACGAGCTTTAATTAGAGTGCTTAAAGCATGTAGAAAAAAACAAAAAAAAACACCTGCATTTATTGGTCGGACATGCCCTAACACTGAATGATACAGCAACGAGACCGCCTTAGCTAGCAGCGCGTCGCCGCGTAGTGAGTGAACGAACATGCCATAAAATTACCAGTGCCGGGCCAGAGCATGCAAAAGAAACTTGCCAGCACAGATGTCGGCAGCAGTTGCCACAGCAACGCGTTCCTGCTGGCCCACCCCTCCCATGGTATCCAAATTTTTGCTACCATTTGTATTATAGTCTGCATACCACCCTGTGCTGTTCCACACCTACTGGGTAAAAAATGTTGAACCGAAACCAGAGGAACAACACAGAGAAATCTGGTATCAAGTGTCTTTTAAACAAGAGTATTTTTTGTGTTTCTGTGGTTAAGACACGTGTTTTTGGACTTTGTGTTAATGAAAATGTCCCTTGGCCAGCTTATCGGTTCTCGAACATTTTAAATTATTTGTCATCATTGCACATGACTGAGAAAATGACAAGATGGGGAGCCGTAAAAGGTTTGTTCTAGAACAAAAAAAAGAAGTCGAATTGAAGTCCTAAATTTTTCTGACAGATGGGCCCTTATAAGATTGTTTCAATAAAATTTCTAGGCATCCAAAAAAAAAAAAACGCTTAGCAACCAATCAACAATGCTTACTTGGTTATCTCCCGTCTCTTCTCTTCTAAAGCGTCGGTGTCTGGATCACTTGCTACAGATGGAGGTCTTGAGACTTCTTCCTGATGTGATAAAATAGGAATTCATGAGACCAACAGACCTACATGGTTGAATACAATAGGGCATTCTTATAGTTTTTTTTCCTAGTTATTAAAGCAGGCCGCAATGTTACCACCCCAATAAAATTAGTAAAAAGCTTGTTGATAAAATGTGCTTTCAAAAGAAAAACTAAATGAGAAAAATGTAACATAATAAAACATTTTTTTCCCATTAATTTTTTTCTTCTGCCCTTTCTAGGCTTTATACCCCTGCTTCCCTTCTCTCCCCCTTATGTGGGTTCCCCTTTGCCTGCTACAAGTATTGAACAGGCAAAGAAGTGTCATTGAGATAAATGCTGCTGCGAGTTGAGAATTCTCATTCTATTTCATACTTTTCTTAAATTTTTTTTAGCTTTATTACCATTTTGGCTAGCTATTTTGTAACAGTTTATGATATTTAAAACACACATCATGATCTGTCACACTTCATGAAGACTAAACAGCAGTGAGTCCTCGCCACTACACAAGAGCACTCTTTTCTGCAGTGCATATTCCAAATGGACCGATGCTCACAAACCCAATATTCGCTGAGTATTACAATCACTCGTTTTTATGAAATGATCACTTGATGTTTCCTACTCCTGCACAGATTGCATTCCGACAAAAACAGTAGTTTTTGCACCAACACTAGAATGCATGAGTGGCGTCTGCTACAAAACAGGGAAACTGAGAGTGGCACAATAACTACTTGTAAGTCCTGCCTTCTATGCCAAATGAAATCATATGCAAACCATGTACACACATTTTTATGCATGTTCAGTATGATATGAGCTGATCTGTTCTTGTAAAATCCACAAAACTGAAGATATTCAGGTTTGCTATGCACAGAAGTGTGAAACACTTAAAACGTAGCCTCGAAGGATACACTATCCCTGTATACTTCTAAATCACAATATATGTAATCTAACCAGGTTTATACGAAAAATAAAACCGATCAAATCAATCTGTGTCAGTACAGTAGTCCCAAGGGTCACAATCTTACTTGTGCACCTCTCAGCTCTTCCACGGGACACCCATTCACATCTGTACCTATAGCCAAGGCACGCTCTGGTTCAACCTGGTTTTATAAAGGAAAAGCTGATCGGTTCAAGTTTTTCTTGTGAACATAACATGCGCATCCTGTGCTTTTGTATGTGACAGTTTTTGTGCAAGGACACTTAGGTTCAGAGGTTGCACTGCCTTTAAAGGGGCCCTGCAATCCTAATTAAGCGTCGACTTTTTTTGCAGTTTCCACATCTCTTGTGTTTCAAGCAACCCAGCAGGTACGGAGAGAGTAACTAAATATGAGTGCGTCATATTTTAACCGGACGACGCAGAAGCCTCCTTCACCTACGGGGGCACCCCGTGGTACTGAACGCGCGCAGCATGTGACAGCATCGCGACATTGTCGGTTTTGGACAGCTCCTGCCTTACGACCGGTCAGAGCCACTAAAAGCCGTTTATTTTTTTAGTCGAAATACAAAATATAAGTGGCGCGAACCATTTGAATTACTTACGGTCATCGACATACTTGCCAGCAAGCGGTGGAAAAGGCGGCGCATACTAGGAACTGGTAGTGGGATCGGGCACTGACGCGCACCACGCATTGCTGTGAGCGGTGAGCGTAGAAAGGTCCCGGATATATGCGGCGGCGTTGCAGTCGTATGGGCTTGAGGATCCAACCAGCCGAGCGTTCCAAAGGCCTGCAAGCAGGTTTGGTGGTTTGGCAGCGCGAAGTGGCTCCCTTTCTGAACTGATCTTTACCCCGTGTTTGTGGTCGTTTGTGGCCAATGAAGTATCATTCCGAATTAGCGTTTAGTCGCGCAGCAAATGCAATGCGAGCCGCCCCGGCCGCTCGTTTCATACAGCTATCCAGAGCATGCTTTAGTGGTACCCTCTCAAGCCGTCGACATGGAAGCCGGCAGCCGTGAGCACTCGCTGAGCTCACTACCCCTTCTCTAGTTCACGGCCACTCAAGCCAGAACCTACGAAGTCATGAAGGAAGTCATTTTTTGCTTCTTTTTGTAATTTTAATTTGCCTATAACTTTTAAAACAGGGTGTCCAACCAAAATGTTTTTCATTCCGGTTTTTGTTCCAGTTCAGGGAAAGCGGTTCAGCTCCGGTTCAACTCCGGATTGATAAAATAAAGGTTCAAACCGGTTTGAATCAGTTTGTACTCATATGCTACAAAAACATTTAACGACAGCTTGTTCGCATGCATAGTTTATCTTTTATCCCAAAAGATAAGCTATGCATGTTTTATACAAGTGTTACATATAAAAAGCAAAGGCTAACATTACTGTGTGGATCGAACGCGCTAGTGCTGGGGCATTTCGGGGTGTAGGTAAAAGCGCAGTTCAATGTCAGGCAACCGACCGAAGAAGCAGGACGTCGTCAAGCATATCCGGGGAAAGATGGCACCTTTGAGACGATAGAACAAACTTCAGTGCAGAAAACGCTCGCTCCACGCTGACCTGGGCAGCAGGCACTCTCAGGGCTACTTGCTCCAATCCGCAAAGTTCTGGATGGCGTTCCCGTCATTCCTTCCAAAACTGTAACACGTTAGCGCGCCTTGAAAGCCGCCGCTCCTTGTCTAGCATTTCCAGGAGCAATGCCATATCAAGTGGTTCACCTTAGTTAAACATATAAAATAACGCAAAAAAGACAAGAAGAAGTATACAGGACAAGAGCTATTAAGTGGGCTACTGGTACCGCGAATGTGCACACCAGCCTCAACCTTTCTTTCCTTGAGGAGCACTTCCGGTGTGTCTTCCGGATCTTCTGAAGCCGCTGCAGTTTTCAGAAGGAGTAGAACCTTGCTCGCATTGCAGAGCTGTGATCCGCCTCCAAGTCTTTGTCAAATGCAACGTGGCTTGGCACTTTTGCTCAGGGGGGAGAAGAAGGCGGTAGCGGGGATCCATGTACACTGCTCCACAGAAACATCCGTGTCAAGAAGTTGTCGCTCCCTCTTTTCTATTGACTGGACAAAGGCCTTGGCTAACGGCGAGGATATCTTGGAAGTGTCCATGAAATATGTCAGCCATGCTCCGTAGAAACCTCCTACAGTGATCTGTTCCTCCTGCAATGTCTTCGTCGCCACTTCTGCAAGCGAAGAGATACTGCGAGCATTTCAACTTCCGCCCAAACGTCTTCAGTCGACCCGGAGCTCTCTTCTTTTCAGAACAACCCTCCAGCGCTCTCTCTCTCTCTTGCTCCCCCTCGCTTGTGCAACGAAGGCCAGTTAACAATAATTGTGTAAATGTGCTATTTTTATTTTAAAAATAAGATGGATTGACATTGTGGTGCCCCTTAACTCTATACCACTTACTGAGTCACGTGCGTAGTGACGACCATTGACGGGCATTAGGGGACTCTGAGACATCTGGTCTTGTTTTGAAGATCGCTGTCGGCAGCAGCGGAGGAAGGGAAAGAATACTTTTGTTGACTTCGGGTAAATGGCACCACTAAAACTTGGAGTGATAAAAGTGAATTATACGAGACCTTTTTCTATTTATTTACGTTCAGACGACAACACTTATAAAAATTTAGCCCTTATAAAACAGATACTTGCTCAACTTGAGAATTCGATACACTGACACCTAAAGCGCGACACAACCGTAGTACCTGTGGTTGTCACACGCGGTTGCAGGTTGAAAATTTTTCCCCATTTTCCTTTGCAATTATTCAGCCCAGTCTCAACATTTCGAGAGAACACGGCCTGTTTTCTCTTACCTGTGCTAAGGTAAACAAAATAAAAGTAACACGCTGCAGATTCTTTCAATATTAAAATTGTTTCATGACCCCTTTAACTCGATGAGACAATGACCTGATGTCTGCCTGACCATTAATTTCCTTTTGACCTGTGATCATCACAGTAAAATCTTATGCAGTGCGTGAGACATATCTGAGCGGGCCCGATGTGCACCATCATTGCCGAGTTCCTGGCTTTCAAGTCAATAAATAAAAGATATTTACTGAAGTAATGCCCTCAAAGCAATATGTATTTGTGAAACTTGACACCCCTGCTAAGTCTTGTCGTCACGACCAGTCGCATAGTAGGACCGGTCTGCCCTGTCGTCACCCGCATGTTTTTGGGGCAGAAAATCTTCACCCCTGTTTTCTGTGTCATGCAATGGCAAACAAATATATTTGGTTTTATGTGACGTTGGCCACTGCTTGACAAGTGAGCACAGCTCCTGCCTGAAGTCGATGTTGCAAAGCAGACAACACACTATTTTCTCGACTGCGGGGTGACCCGAGGCGGGTGCAAAATGCTTGTGGGCGGAGCTTCTATTGTATTTTTAAGCTACACTCAACAGTTTCCTCCTCATGTCTATCTGTGTGTACATCTCTTTATAGGTGTTTTCAATGAAGTTGCCATACATCATCGCATTTCATTCAACAAGTGAATTCACAAATGCATGCAGTTCTGGGTCTGAAGGAATGTGTCCAAATTGAAGGAGGAAAGTTCTTAAGGCGGTGTTTTTACGCCCAACAGGGTGCCGAGAATAAATAAATTACCCATGTATAAGGGTAACGACAAACAGTGGTTTATATGTGTCAGTGCTGTTTTGGCATACATCTAAGCGTTCCAGTTTTTTTTTTCTATTGTAGCAATAACTCCTGCTTTTGTACCTGGCACGAGTCCTGAGCCTCTCCTGAGAGCATTTCCCAGTCAGTCCCGTGGGCACCCTTTAACTGAAGAAATCAAGCTTAGGCATCAGCCAACTTCACTAATATACAGTAAGCTGCAGCAGCGATCCATTCGCGAAGTGAGTTATTGTTACTTCGGTCAAGAGTCAGCGCATTTTCGTTTGCTTATTTGACATTATGCTAAAGTTCCGCAGAGAGACTTCTCGGCATTGAGAAATTTTTCATCAGCTTGTGAGTCCACGACTGGGCAATATTTTGGTGTTTTGCACCAACAAAAAAATAAAATATCTGCGGTCTGTTTTGTTTTTTTAGTACTTTTTTTTTATTTATTGGTAGATGTAATTTTGCTTGCGGCAGCAGAACGGGCTGAAATTTCAGAGAGTGCGGGTTGTCGATTCTTTAGTTTGTGAAAGAGCAAACACTTGCAACTTATGCCTGTGTTCCGAGCACTTTGCGCTACAAACTTATTATGTAGGAGACAATTTACACATTAACGGACTTCGTCTTTTTATATCGGCAAATTACATTTTGTAGCAGACGATTGTTCGTTGGTGTTAGCAAATAGATCCATCTCCTAACAATATTTCAGCTCGATCCGCGAGAGTCAGCTTGCGTTCACCAGGGAACCAGGGACGAAAACTGGATGTGCTGTCAGCTCGATTACTGATCCTATCAAAAGCTCTCGTAGTGCTGCAGATGTTGGTATCACAAGTGCTAGTTCCATTACGCACAGTGAGCTAACCGCAATGGTACGCGAATACCGGTCACACACACACACACAAATATTTACTTCTCTGGCGTGTAGTTCTCGGTCGCCGGCAAAAACAGTCTCTTCCGAAGCCTCGTCATATTCTGGGGAGTTGGCGACATCAGAAGTTCCAACCTCAGGAAAGGCTGCAGATGACCCAGCAGCGGACATTTGCATTCTTCGTCGCCGATATGGTTTTTTCGTGCAGAGCCACATCTTGCTCAAGGTCCCGTTTGTACCTGGAAGGCATGGTTGCGCGTCCTTCCCTCCGATACGGGATGCCAGGGCAGAGCGGCATCGTAAAAAGAAATTAGAGCGTCCCTATTGCACTGGCTGCACGCGCGAAAACGGACTATGCAGCAATTAACAACGGCATTTGCGGTGCTGGCACGTTACTTTGGTCTTTATATCTAGGCGGGGTGTCCAGAGACGACAGAGTCCAGAGCCATGGCCGGGTCTAGGCGTATATTAATCTGTGATACGCATAGCGCGACTACCTCCTATATTGTAACGGTAAATTGCGCCACGTGACGGGTGTGTTTTTTTTATAATTAAGAATATAACTTTTTGAAAAATTAAAGCAAGAGCGGAGACCAGGGGCTTTATCTAGACACTTGGAAAACACGTCGGCGAATAATTCGGCGGCATTGATTGGCCGGCACCGCGCTTGACCTTGGCTACGTCCAATCACAGTGGTGGTATTCTTCGCCGCCTTTTTCACCAAGTGATTAGAGCCCCAGCAAACAATAGTTTGTCTCACCTTTAACATGCATTTGCAATGGTTACGTCCGCATGCAACTGAAACATGGGCGTACCAACCGGGGGACAAGGAAGGCGCATGCCTCCCCCACCCAGTTCTCAGAGAGGGAGGGGGGGGGGGCAAGACACGTGTTTTGCCCCCCCTGAAACAGCCGCCACTGGGCAGGGCAAATACTGTCCGTCGGCGCCCAAGAGATACCACGGGCACCACCCCCCGACCCGGGGGTCTGGTTCGTCCTTCCCACTTAAAGACAGGTTGTTACGCCACTGAACCGAAACGACCGAACCGATCACAAAATAACAACAGCCGTGACTCATGGATTGCTTTGCGAAGCTACCCCTTGCGTCACTTGCCATGCTGTGTATATTATAGGGTCAACAGGATTTGGGGGGGGGGGGGGGGGCTGAAGCCCCAAAAGGGTGTCCTTTATGGAGACCTCATTGCTGCACTGCTGAAACATCCATTTCAGCGAAACCCCTTGTACGCCATTTTATCGACACCGGTTTAGCAAAACCCCTATTGAAGAAATGACGCCGACCTCGACGAACCTTCTTTTAGCTAACTTCCCCTGATGTTCG